TGTATCCGTCCGGACTAAGAGAGGCTGTACCAGTCAGTATAAAGCATAAAAGAGCAGGCATGGTAGGTCAGCATGCATCAGTGAGTTGGTCGAACGTCTATCGCTCGGCCTCGTCCAACAATCCATTTTGATGACTGCCATGTGAATCGAGACTAGCGCACACTGGAACACCCCGTTGGCCAGTTTCAGAGCCATCCAAGCAACTCGCTAGTAGCCTGGTGTGTCTGTCGCTTTGATATCTGATCCTGCTCGCCAAGCTTGTGTTCAAGGAGAGAGAAGCAGACTACTGTACGACCCAGCGCAATTCTCGGCCAAAGTCTGCATGCGGTGCCTCCACGGCTGCCTCGCGGCCACGGCATTGAATCAGTGACAATGGGAGGGGGACAACATACCAATCGCCGCTCTGTAATCTCCACCACAGGCTCCAAGAATTCCAATAAATTCAGGGTTCGTAGGTTGGTAAGCACCCAGGCAGGAATGCACCAGCTGTTGAGCCTTAAAGTTGAGTTTGATCTAGTGACCTGCGCAGTAAATAGTTCAGCCCACCATGGATCGACTAGGGAGAACTCGTCGCGTGGCAACACGCCGGACTCCTTTTTTCGTACGGTGATGAGTGGATGAATCGCAAGTAACTTTGCTCTAGTTGCTTGCTGTAACGGCAATCACAAACACAGAACTTGAGAGCGCCGGCCATAGAACGTTTTGTTGACGTGTCGAGTTGCTGTTTCATAGGTTACTAGACGGGGACTAGGCCTCGAGATGCTTCGGTACCACCGCGACCACCACAAATGCCACCGGGAGCAAGCAAGAGCAAAGCCAAGCCGATATCGACGGGGCGTGCGTGTGCAAAATTGACAGTGGACCAAGAGCCTGTGCAAGCAGCCGCATCACAAAGAAAACAAGTGACGGGTGTTTCAGTGGGCCCGAGAGGCTACGAGATAGCCGATTCGAGCTTCTCGGCCGTGAAGAACATGACCATGAATGAGATAGCTTTTTGCTTGGATACCAGGCCCCAGCAGACTCCCATTGAGACCATTGGGAGCACACGCGGGGGGGGGGGGCTCTGGTCTGCGGCTTGGCGTGATACAGTAATGCCTACGGGCGTGTGAGAATTCGTCGATGGCGTGTCACTGCCAGGATGGAGTCGATGGGCCAAAATAGAGTTTCTTGGGAGCTGCATGGCGCTTTTCTCGGACGAGGTTAGTGGGCGGCTCGAGCCCAACGTCACGTTCAGGTCCGCAGCTACGGGGAGAGAGAAGTTGGTGCACCCGAGCAGAAGGGAGCCAGCGCGGCGGGCCAGCAGCCTTCTGGTCCGGTCTTTGCTTGCTCGATAACTCGTTGGTGGGCGGGCGGAAATTGATGAGCGGGACAGCACGCAAGTCCGGATCATCCCTCCCCCCGTTGTTTTCACCGGTGATGGCGCGGCGGGAGCTTGCCGCAGGGTGGCCTGGGCTTTTCTTCTTCATGTTCCCTAATCATGGACGATCGATGCTGCAGAGAAACACACAAGCAAAGATATAGTTTCTTATGCGCCGCGCCGCTGCTTAAGGCTGCCAAACCTTCGTTTGCTACCTGGGCGCTTCCTGATCGACACCGCCGTTCGTCTGTGGTGTAGGGAAAGCGAGTCATCCGTCTCGGCTTGCCGATTACAAGCCCACGCGATGCAGGTCTTGGCTTTTCGAATCATTAGCGGCTGCCTGCGTGGCCCACGCCAGGTTCTGCCTGTCCTTGCCTTGAGTTGATGTGTCGCACACCGGAGCCGGCCAAGTTGGAGCGGCGAGCCGGAACGAAAGTGGCTCCGCTTCCGAGACTCCCCGTGATTCAAACTCCAGCCAACCAAGCAGCGATACGATGCAATGCCTGCCTCTTGATTGCAATAAAATTCATCGTGACTCGCATGGTCCGTCATAACCTCCCGCCGCATCGCAAGCACTTTGAAGTCAATCTTCGCCAGCCGTGCAACCGTTACGTTTGTCTGCGCCTCGCGGGAGTGGCGAGCACTGGCCCGTCCGCCCTCGCCATCTGTCGTGATCCATCTCGACGCCCGATTTCTTCGCCTTTCTCGCCTGCCCGACCCATGCTGGCGCAAAAGCAAACGCAAGATCTGAACCTTGGCGTCGGGCTCATTTACTTATTTCATCTCCTTGCAGCCTGGCCTGTCCATTCACGGCCGTACCCGGGACGCAGACACAACCCCCAATCGGCAGTTACTCGTCCAGGGACTGACTAGAGATACAGAGGCAAAACACGGGGCCTTCCGACACCCTTGCTCATCCTTGCAACCTTGGAAAAATACGACAGACGAATTTGCCTGGCGCCGGCGCACGCTGTTTCCTGTTGTAAACCAAGCTAAAAGCGGTAGCCCATGTGCTTGGAACATCCATTGTGTAGATTGGCCCAACAGTTAGTGTCATGGCTCCCACCGTTTCGCAATCGTGATGTGATTGATGGTGGAATGCAATGTTCAAAGACAGGGAGGCCTTTCCTGCTCCAAGTGGGGGAAAATATGTACATATATGTCAGGCCTTGCTTTTGGGTCCTTGCGGAGATCCCTCTTACTAAACACTTCTACAAATATGCCCCTGTTCTGGCTTTGTGACAGAAGATTTGCACGGCTCTTCCAGGTTTCATCCCATGTCATGTCCTTGGCTTACAACATGTTTACAGTCCTCGTGTTGCGGCCTGCGACTCAACTCCTGAGAGATCTTGAAACTAGTGTTTTTGTTTACCATTTTTTTCCCACCCTTGGCCGTGCAATGAAAGCTGTCCCTCGTGCGCTGCCGGCCTGTTCTCCGAGGGCTCGCTCGGGATGATGATGGGAGAATGTCAAATCTCCACCTCCCTGTTTTTTACTGGTATTTACCAAGCACATTTTGCGGCATCCCTGTTGGTGTGGCCGTTGTTTATCCATCAGACGAGTCCCAAATGGGCAAAAAGGCGGCTGCATGTCTTGCCTGTTAGCGTCACTGTCGGTTATTCACCCATGTTTTGGCCGTTTTTAATCAGAAAGGAAGAGGGGGTACATATACATACTACCACGCCTCGGCACAGCGACACTCACATTCGATCTTCATCGTCAAATCTTCCCGACACTCCCTGCCAAGCCTCAGTCTGAAGTCCTGTACGGAGTATTGCATGTGCTCTCCGCCTGGCCGCCGCTCACTAGATGTCACCGCCGTGCTTTGACATGCCCCTCCAATTTCCACGGCTCACCAGGGCAACCTTTTTTTAGCATTATCCTGTTCGAAACATTTGCTGGCACGATGCTAAAGATTTTTCTAAAATTCTTAGCGTCATATGTGCAGTACACATGTGCCAGATTCCTTGGTCTATTACTCCCGAGGTTCACATCTGCAACCTCTACAAAACCATGCTATCTTTCAACCCCGCGGGGTACTTGCATCGCCTGCGGATTCTCGGCAGTGTTTGAATCATGGTATGCATTGCTACCGAATCTTACACGTCGACTGGGGAGAAGCATCTTGGCATAGTCAGCCGCCGCCCAAGAGGTCCAGTGCGATCCCGGACCTTGAGATATTAAAATAGTAAGAGGCGATCTTAATTGTAATACTGGTACATATCCGCCCCCATTATCCCCCGTCGTCCCTCTAACCTTGGTCGTATCGGGCAGCGGGTTGTAGTCGGCAGACTCCACACCCGCCATTTCATGTGAACAGACGAAGACGATCTTATTATTACGGGATACTGAAAACAGACGTGTAATAAAGAGCCCAGCTCCGTAACTAACAGGTATTCTGGCTGTGGTGGGCGCCACTAAAATCTCGTTCCCAGAGAGTGAAACACGTCCATGACTCGTGGACAGCCGCACGCCAGAGGAAAATGAGGCCACTTCGCAAGGCTACATTAGTGCCCCGGCGCGATATCGAATGCGATGGCCAATGAGGACAGGGCAGGGAATATCACGCAATGGCACCTCGCCTCTGGCTTGTTTCTAAGCAAGTACGGACAAACTTAGACTGCAATAATAATCGGTGGTTTGGAGCAAGTACACCAAAGGTTGGCAGCGTCTTCTTCTTTCCCCAACGTTTCAACTCGTGGTTTGACCTGAACGCCGCCGCCTTGACATCATCCTGAAAGTCCGAGAAGCTATTTGAAACACTGTCCGTATCAAGCTTCTTAGAGAACTGTAACTGTGATTGAGATGACTTTTGTATTCCAAGTCCAGATTTCCTTCTCGTTCCGCAACTCTCTCACAACGCTTCCAGCGTAGTCAACATGGCCAAGTAAGAAGCTGCGACCCCCTTGATGTAACAGGAAATGCTCTCCTAAACTCAAGCGAATGATACTTTGGTTGTCTCGTGTAATCTGTGGCAAACTTTTCCTTCATCACATCTTGCCTCGTCTCGAGGCCGGGACAGGCTTACTTGGATGAACCACACGTGAAAGCCTGCCGAGAGAAAATACGAAGTACAGAAACCGCCGCTGCGGAGTTCATGATTTTCGGTGATAGGGATTTCCCGGGCTGCTGGAAAGACCAATGATTCAACGTCAATCCCGCCTGACCCGAAAACGAAAACAGTATGCGTTTTTCTGTCGTGGACGATGACGCGCTGTTACACTACTTACTGATAGAATCAATGCGGATCAAGCGTCACCGTTCCAATCCCAATGCCATGTGCTGGGCAGGTGATGGCCGAAACTCTTGCCTTCCCACAACCCATGCATTGCTTAACTCGTTCCAAACAAGACAAAACAAGGACGGACACCGTTGCGTGCGGATCTCGCAGCAGCTACTGGGCAGAGATGATCGATTGATAGCTCCGTACCTAGTAGATTGGACCCCAAGACCCCTCGGGACAGGACAAGGCCAGTGCACTTTTAGCGTGTTCCCAGCGCCCTGCAGCGCTGTCTGTTCTAGTTACAGAAGTCGCTGTGTAATAGCTCAAATGATTGGGCGCTTGTGGCGTTTAGGTTGTAATCTAAGTGGGGCAAATGCTCAAGCCTTTTTAGGTCTAATTAAGACGACTTTGGTCTAGGTAGTTCCTGTAGCGGAGTGGTTACCGCGTGACTCTTATAGATCAAGGACTTCTTTTGGCTCTATGGTGTAATGTCAAGGTCCGGGGTTCGACCCCCCGCAGGAACATGCATTTTTGCGAGAATTTTCTTTTTTTAGGATTTCATTAGGCGTAGAAGATGCTGCTTTATATGCATACTTGATTTTCGGCCTTCTTTTATGGCTAGCGTGTTTGTAAAGCATTACTGTGCGCAATTCCGACGCTCGTCGATACTCAGCTCGTGCCGCAGTGCCAGGTGCAGAAGGCGAAGAGCATCTCCAGGGTATGCCCACCGCTCTTGGAAACAGTGCCATTCATGCAGCGATGCCATTCCTGAGACAAAAACAGGTCAATTCAAATTCAGGCGAATTGATGTATAATAAAATTTCTTATCTAGGGGGAGGGCGCAGTCCGCCAGACTGCAGCTCCAAACAAGCCCAAGCAAGTGCAAACGTCAGCCACCATCAGCCCGACTCTCCAGCCTTGACGCCTGCTTCGGGTGCTTGCTTCCCGTGAAGTCGTATGCATCACGGACTGAGGATCTCGCAACATCAGATGTAGTCAAATCACCCCCACCCTGCAGATCTATGCAGCTGTCAAACTGGGTCGACTGACAGACCGGATAATCGATCTGGCGTAGCCTTCCCACGAGTCTACGGGCCGGGGTTCTATTTCGGTGGATTCAAGTTCAGCATAGCCGGCAATTGAGCAGGACCAGTCAGCCATCCACAGGAAATTGCCGTGTTTCTCAGATGCCAAGACTAGATACTGTTTGGACCGCCGTCGGATGTGTCACCACCCGAGGTCTTATGCCGCAGCCAGCCTCACTCTTGCGGCCCGGGCGGCAAGATCAAACGAGGAACAGCGGCTTGCCGAAACCGAGTATTATCGTAGACTGCAGTCAACCTTCAAGGACCTATTGCGTATAGTTTGCGAAGTGGCGCAGGATGATATGCTCGGTGTAAAGAGTGCCCACGTTTCACCATCACGCAAACGCCGAAGCTCATGGTGGGTAATAAGTTGTAGTTCATTTGTATTTGGCGGAATCAGCTAAACCAAATCATCTACCGCTTTATCAGCATCACTTTGTATCAGCTCCTTCATACCCTGCGGATGCGTTAGCAATGATCTAGCCAGACTGGTGGGCTCAACTACCTCGGGCATGATGGGCTCCCCATCCGAGCCCTTGACATATCGAAACGGCATCTCTGTGCTTTCATATTTGTTGAACTTTAGCTCGGGAAAGTCGAGGTAATCAATCTTGTCGAGAGCAACTGAACCGATTAGCTGACGCGGCACAGCCCAAACAGGAAGACGCCTCACTCTTGTCTTGAACTACGATTCTCGTCACACGAACGGCAGTATCAGTGGTCATTTGCTGAGGGCCCAGACGACGTCCCTCGAAACCCTTCTTTCTAAGTTCAGAAGTGCGATCTGCTTTTGTCAGTATGGTCATACACACACACAGAGGATGGACATGCTGAACCTCTTGGCGGGTCATCGCCTGGGATACGTTAGCAAGTGCCAGGAAATACGTTGTCCCTGGCTATGAAATCTCACCCAATATTCCACCAAACAGAAACACATCAAAGTTGTCACCGTCCTCGGGAGACAAGTCCTTGGCGGCCGCAGGATCCAATAGGCAGACTCGATTTCTGGTGTCCGCATAAAGCTCCTCCACACCGCGATGTTCAGCCCTGAATGCAGGGCTGTTGGCTAGAGTGTCCGGGACCTTGAATCCGTCAGGCAAGCAAGACAGAATAAAGTCGCTGTCTCTCTCATGGCTCTCCTTGGCGATGCACTTGTACTCGAGTTCTGACCAAGGACCAAGCTCGGGGTCGAGATGCTCAACGACGATGGTCTTTGAAGCTGAGGCCATCTTGTCTATGTGAGGAGGGTCAGCTCCTGCGGTACGTGTTAGCTCCTTGCACGGGAGTTTTGTTCTAGGTAGTCCTACTAGAAGACTGATATTGGCGCTGTGAGTTGGACGATGCAAATCTAACCACACTAAAAAGAGACTTTGCGGCTGGTGGAGCCCTGCATTGATCTTGGTGAGGAGTGTCACTGTCAGGGTGTCGATGTCGATGTGACAGCCTTGGCTTACAGAGGGCAACGCTCAAGTCCAAGCTCGATAAAATTCAACCCTTTTTCATTAAATTTACCTGCCTAAATCTAAACGTCCACACTGCCCTCGTCATAAAAATATATGCCAAAGTTGTAGTGCTTTATGTGGCGCAACGCTTGGCCCCAGCTGAACAAATGCCGCCCGAAACGGGTCACAATAGCCACCTGTGTGGAGGACAATGCCACCTCGCCTCATTGGCAGGACTGAGCTGACAGTATCATGCCTCAGCCATCACCATCATCACACGACATCTTCCTGCGCAACTGATAGCCGGGCCACTGTACTCAATTGTGCGCGATCATATCTATTTATTGCAAGATTCGCATAGCTTGCACTGACGCCGTCGTGATCGCCACGTGGGCGATGGCTTCCGTCGCTTCCATCCCGGGGCCCCGACGATGGCTGGCCGCCGCGGCGTTGATCCTCGGGCCTCTGGCAGCCCTGGCGGACAAGCCAGCCGCCGCCGACTACTACGTTCGCAACTTGCCTGGTGTCCCCGAAGACCAAATTCCGGTGAAGATGCATGCAGGGTGAGTCGCGCGCACGCCCAAGTCGTTGACGCCAAACTCCGAAACAAACGCTGACGCAAGCTTCTGCCGCAGACACATCGAAATCAAGCCCGACACAAACGGCAACCTCTTCTTTTGGCATTTCCAGAATAAACACATTGCAAACAAGCAAAGAACAATAATTTGGGTCAATGGTGGACCAGGCTGCAGCTCCGAAGACGGCGCGCTGATGGAAATCGGCCCGTACCGAGTCAAGGACAAGGATACGCTCGTCGTGAATAACGGATCCTGGAACGAATTCGCCAACCTTCTCTTTGTTGATAACCCTGTCGGGACGGGATTCAGCTATGCCAACACCGATAGTTATGTACACGAACTCACGGAGATGGCGAGTCAGTTTGTCGAATTTCTGGAAAAGTTCTTTGCCATCTTTCCCGAGTATAGTCGCGACGATGTGAGTACTTTGACAGACACTAGGCCTTTCATCAACTAATAACATCTAGATTTATATCGCTGGAGAGTCGTATGCTGGACAGTATATCCCCCACATTGCGCGAGCGATTCTCGACCGAAACAAGGAGAAATCGGATCCATGGAGTCTGCAAGGCATTCTGCTTGGGAATCCATGGATTTCTCCCAACGACCAGTATGATTCTTACCTCAAATTTGCCTTCAATAGGGGCTTGGTAGACAAGGACTCGGACGCAGGCAAGCAGCTCAAAGCCATGGAGCGCACCTGTCACACCATGCTCGCTAGCGACCCTGGCAAGGTGGGCTACCCCGAGTGTGAGGATATCCTGACAGAACTTCTCTCCGTCACTAGAAAGGAGGGCGGCGGAGATCAAGAATGTATCAACATGTACGATGTCCGTCTCAGGGACTCATACCCCAGTTGCGGCATGAATTGGCCTCCGGACCTGAGTGCCGTCACGCCCTACCTGCGACGGAGCGATGTTGTCAGTGCATTGAACGTTAACCCCGAGAAAAAGTCTGGATGGTCAGAGTGCAGCGGTGGTGTTAGTGGGGCTTTCCGTCCTAAAACCTCGAAGCCCTCGATCGACCTCATGCCGGGAATCCTGTCCGAGATTCCCGTGTTGATCTTCTCTGGCGCTGAAGATCTGATCTGCAACCATTTCGGCACAGAAGACCTGATTGAAAAGATGGAATGGAACGGCGGCAAGGGTTTCGAGGTGACTCCTGGTAACTGGGCCCCTCGTCGCAACTGGACCTTTGAGGGCACGGATGCCGGCTTCTGGCAGAACGCCCGCAACCTCACCTACGTTGTGTTTAACGACGCCTCACACATGGTTCCCTTTGATTACCCCCGTCGCTCGCGCGACATGCTGGACCGATTCATGGGCGTCGACATTAGCAGCATTGGCGGCGACCCCACCGACAGCCGCATCGATGGCGAAAAGGGTCCGGAGACTACCGTCGGCGGCTCTGTGAATCCCAAGGAGAGCGAAGCAGCCGTCAAGCAGAAGCTTAAAGAGGCCAAGTGGGCCGCCTACCAGCGCTCCGGCGAAGTTGTCCTTGTCTTTGTCGTGCTCGGCGCCCTGGGCTTCATCTTGTTTGTCTGGCGTCAGCGCCGCAGGGGCGCGGCGTACAGCGCTATTCGCTCCGAGGAGCCCATGGGCTCCAGCCGTCGCATCGGCGTCGACGACATTGAGGCGCAGGAGGAGGGCATCGCTCTGCAGAGCAACATTCTGCCCACCGATAAGTACTCGGTAGGTGACGATAGCGATGACGAAGACGCCAGACCAAGCAAGGACGGCGAGAGGGGCAAGCAGATAAGCAAGTCCCGTGATGAAAACTAAGCATCTTGCTTTCATGTTTGACGATATTCTTCTTGTCTCCTTTCTTGGGTTAAGGTAAATTGGCACCGAGCAGGATACGGGATAAGCTCAACACTTTGCGCGGGTCTGTAACATAGAATCAGAAACTGAATCACGTTTATAAACATAACAAAATATCATGTAGATAATCTATCCCTCATTTCGCCATGCAACTCCCATCTTGCAGGGGACGTTCCAACATCCCTATGTGTATAATAAAATCCATTTTATGTCGATCCCAGATCTTGTTCTCATCAGGCAAGACAATAAACCCGTTTAAATCCCAAAAGCCCAGTGTGGCATCAATGCAAGGGAACCCGCCGGTAGGTTGCAAACAAAACGCCGGTAAAATGCTAGTCATGTCGCCCTCTACAACTGCACGTCATTGTTGAGCAAGCGCACCTCCTCGCCGGGCTTGAACGGCGGCAGGCCGATATAAGGGCAGCCGTCGCAGCGGAACGCGTCGCCGAGCGCGCAGTTGCCGCACGAGCCGACCTTGCCCTGGACGGTAAAGTCCACCTCGGCCAGGTCCTCGGCGGCGAGCTTGAAGCTGGCCAGCGTCTTCTCGGTCTCGGCGCGCTTGGCGGCGTCCTCGGCCTCGAGGCGCTCGGCGAGACCGC